CCCTATGCCCCTCCCCTCTGCTCATGCTCTCTCGCTCTCATTCTCTTTCAAAATAAATAAAATCTTAAAAAAAAAAGAGAGAATGGTATTCTAGGTTGAGGGGCTAGCATTAGCAAAGGCCTAGGGCTAGGAACGTGCATGATCTTTTTCATGGAACCTTAAGTATTCATGTGTGACTGAGGGGTTGGGTATGTAGAAGATCTAGTGAGAAGTAAAGATAGGATGTGGAGAGGTCAGATTGTACAGGGCTTTGAAAGCAATAGGGCAAGTTCGTACTTTATTCTAGAGGCTTTGGGTAATATTTTCAGGTTTTTGAACAGAGAACCAAGATTGTAATCTTATAGCAAAATAGATGTGGTTAGTGCTTCCTGTTAATTTAAAATCTTGATTGAGAGGGCTCATGAAAAATATATAGGAGGAAGAGATAGTTGCTGTAATCCAGGGTATGAAATGGAAACCATTGGCAGATTGTGTAAAAATGAGTCTTTTAGAATAAGCCCTAAGAACTTTTTATTTTTTAAAAGATTTTATTTATTTGAGAGAGAGAGAGAGAGAGAGCGTGTGAGCATGAGTGGGGGGAGGGGCAGAGGGCGATGGAGAAGTGGACTCTCCACTGAGCAGGGAGCCCCATGCAGGGCTCCCTCCCAGGACCCTGAGATCATGACCTGAGCCAAAGGCAGACGCTTAACCCACTGAGCCACCCAGGCGCCCCAGCCTGAGGAACTTTTTGTAAATATATTTGGGCCTTTTCATACTTAGAGTATTGAACAAATTTATTAGACAATAACCTCTCTCAAAGAATCTTAATTTCTAGATTGGGAGAAAGGATTAGGTTGCTGTGCACATGGAAAAAAAGAACTGTACTTTTCCAGCTGACTGCATATGTAATTGAAGATGGATTTACCTCAGTAGATTGGGCTGTCTTTCAGCCTGAAGGGAGAGCTTTAAGCATATTTTAAAACTGAGCACTTGATTTCTATTTTTAAGTCTGAAAATAATTATCTGACACAAGGAATTAGCCTTTAGGAATGAATCTGATGTGCCGAGACTTGAGCATTGCCAACATCTTCTCTTTTGATATGCTTTTATTAGGCTATTTGTTATCTTGTATTTTTGTTGATTTCTCCTGTTGCTTAGGGAGCATTTGCCTTTTCAACAATTGGGACTCCAAATGATTTGTGCATCTTAGTTGAAGAAATTGTTGGGAAGAAGGCCTGATCAGGAAAGAAGAGATTGGGGGGCGCCTGGGTGGCTCTGTCGTTAAGCGTCTGCCTTTGGCTCAGGTTGTGATCCCAGGGTCCTGGGACCAGCGGGAAGCCTGCTTCTCCCTCTCGCACTCCCCCTGCTTGTGTTCCTGCTCTCACTGTCTCTCTCTCTGTCAAATAAATAAGTAAAATCTTAAAAAAAAAAAAAAAAAGAAAGGAAAGAGAGATTGGTTGGCTGCTGGTCAGGTGAAGATTTAATTTAAGCTCACAACAGTTGGGTTATTGGCTGGCTGGAGTGCCCAGTGAGTTATGTTTTGGCTTGGCATCTTTTCCTGGTTGTACAGATGATCTGGCATCTTGAGTATACTAGCAACAGGGGTGTATGTATGTAAAAACTGCTTGTTTGTAGGTATGAGATAGACTTGCGTGTCTACTAGTAGTCTTCTGAAGGGAAGAAAGCAAATTACTACTTATATTCCAGGAAATACTAATGCTATTGTACAGGTATATAGTACTTACATAATATTTATGCTCTTCGACAATACTTCATATCTGTTGTCATTTCATGCTCACAATAACCTTGTAAATGAGATTGGGCAGGTATAATTCCTATTTGACAGAGGGGATGCTGAGGCATAAATATGAGACTGGGTTAAGGTTACTGGCTCAACAAATCGATAACTGGGACAACTTCCTATGTTTCATTTTTGGATCATAACTTTCAGAAGATTTTATAGGAGGAAAAGCTGAATGTGTCCCTCTTTTTTGTTGTTATTTTTTAGCGACGTCTTAGACACCTTCGGAACATTGCTGCCCGGAACATTGTTAATAGAAATGGCCATCACCTCCTTGATACTTACTTCACGCTTCACTTGTGTAATACTGAAAAGATATATAAAGGTAAGGGAATCTGTGGACTTGCCCACATATTGTTACATCTCATTTTTATCCTTTTGTAACATGAGTATCAGTGCCTCTTGATTTGCTATTATTACTTATTGGAAAGCTAAACTGTCATGCTGTCTGAAAATATTGCATGAACAGTTGTTATATATATCATATATAAAAGAAACATGGGTTTTGGATAGTTCTTAAATTAGTAGATTTATCATTTATTTCTGAATGTTTGCTATTAATGTTTTTATTCCACTAGCTATCATTAAAATAGATATATGAGTCCAGTATACATACTAATTTTATTTTCTTTAAAACATAATTAATTTTTTAAAATATTATGGTAAAATTGGAACCGGTTTATGTCTTCTCATATCTGTAATTCCTTGTGTATATATGGGATTACTTTTAGAAGAATGGCATGGTTTCCTTGAATTCATTTGCACATGTACTGTGGATTATTCCATAAATGGCAATTCTGACAGTAGACCAAATAAATATTTGATTCAAAATCACAAGCATCTTTTGAATACATATTGGATGAAAGGCACTTGGATATAATCAGTTGACCTGAGGTGGGTGGTACAAGGGAACAAACGGTATATGGCAGGAATACTGAATTAGGTTTGAAAATAGATAGTAGGGCTAGCTGTGTGACACTGGACAAAGATCATGGCTTTTTGAACCTCACTTTTTCCATTTGTAAAGAGGAGATAATGATGCCTTATGAAGTTGGCAAGACAGATTTCTATGAGGAACAACTGAGATAAAGTGATAACACTTGGTAAAATGTGATTGAAGATCTATTTATATAAACAAAAAGTAGTATTTTAATTAGAGGTACTAAGGGCTTATTTGAATTTTGTCCTGTGGCAAAGATGAAAAATTCAAATGACATTTTACTTTTTTGGTTTTAATTACTTTTTTTTTTTAAGAAGATTTTATTTATTTGAGAGAGGAAGAGAGAGCATGAACGGAGGAGGGGTATAGGGAAAGGGGTAAGCAGACTCCCTGATGTGCGGGGAGCCCAACAATGTGGGGCTTGATCCCAGGACGCTGCGATCATGACCTGAGCTGAAGGCAAATGCTTAACCACTGATCCACCCAGGCACCCCTGGTTTTAATTGCTTTTAGAGACCATTATTAAAGCAGTAGTCATTTAACACCTTTTTTGTTTTTTTAATTTCAATACCAGTATATGCTCATTAAAAGATTCAATCAGGAATTATATAGGGTAGAGCCCCCACCATAATGTAAATAGCATTAAAATAATTTTTAAGGATGAAAAAAAGGACTGAATTCTGCATTTTCGTATAATTTTATTTCATTCTTATTTTTCATTGTAACCATTGCATATTCTTAAAACACTATATTAATCTGAATGATTAATGCTAGCTACTATAACAAATACTGCAAATCTCAGTGGCGTAACATAATAAATTTCTTACACTAAGTCCAGTGCAGGTGTTCTTTATCAGGCATAGCCTTGGCAGCTGTCCTCTAAGCAGTGACTCAGGTATCCCGGCTTCTTCTATTTTGGAATGCGGCTATTGTCAATATATGACTTTTGGCAAGAGAGAAGGATTATTTGAGGGAGATTTTTTTTTTTTAACGGAAATGGCCTATATCAATTCTATAACATTCCATTGGCCATAAATCAGTAGTGTCATCCTTTTTAGATGGAAAGGGGACCGGGATATGTTGTCTTCCTATGTGTGCAGAAGGAAAATGAAACGGTTTGGTCATTGTTTGTCTTAAGGTATAAGCATTTTTGCAGATCTTAATACATTTGATGTACTGCTCACTAATAGATTTTATCACTAGCAATATATGACAATGCTAGAGTGTTTTATTTTATTTTTTTAGATTAAAAACTTTTTTTTTTTAATTTTTAAGTAATCACTGCACCCAGTGTGAGGCTCGAACCTACAACCCCAAGCTCAAGAGTCACATGCTCTACTGACTGAGCCAGACATGTGACCCATGCCAGAGTGTTTAAAATTTTTTTTTCAAGATTTATTTATCCATCTTAATGGTGGGAGAGGGACAGAGGGTAAGAGAGAGGGAGAGAAGCAGACTTCCTGCTGAGTGCAGAGCCCCATGGGGGGCTCCATCCCATGACCCCGAGACCATGATCTAAGCTGAAACTAAGAGCTGGATGCTTAACTGACTGAGCCACCCAGGCGCCCTGAGTGTTTTAAAATTTTTGATAGTTTTCTATATAATCAGCCCTTGATTATCTTCATAAAACTTCTCTGTTGTTGCTCCAGTGTTATCTTTGATAATAATAATTAACACAGTACTTGGCAGCACATTTTAGGTATTTGGTAATTTGTAATGTTAACACAGAAGAGAGTAATCATGGGACTGGTTGATGACCATCTTATAAAAAGTTGTCTAAGAGATATGATGGAAACAAAATGACTTTTTTGGCTTATTTTTTGTCTTCTTCTAGCTCAGACTACACCTTGAGTTTAGAAGTTATAGACTGCTTCTTAAAGTTCTCGCAGTGAAATGGTCATTGATACAGTAAGGGAATAGCTGGTGTACCACAGGGAAGTACAGTCTCTGTGAATGGTGTTGAGTCTGTCACTAACTGGCAAGCCCGGGGCCTAGGGCATTTCATTCCTCCTGGGAGCTTTGGTGAATTTATCTCTAGAATTGATGATTTCTGAGACTTGCTCCTACTCCAAAATCTCATGGTTGAATGGAGTCTGTTTATGGTCTTCTTGTGGGCCCACGTGTTGGGCTCTATAACTTTTAACTACCATAGGAGGAGCCAGGAAGCTGTTTCCTTAATAAGCCTAGTTAATCCACCTTCTCTTGTTGGACCTGTGATGACAAACACGAATATTCATTTCATGATCATTAGGTGGCTCTTGGTGTAGAATGACCACAGTAGAGGGCCAGTTGGCTCTCCTCACAAAACCACCTGTACCACCTGTTTAGTCTTATTTTTAAAGATTTATTTATTTGAGAGAGAGAGAGAATATGAGCGGTGGGGAGGGGCAAAGGGAGAGAGAGAGAGAAGCAGATTCTCCTCCGAGCAGGGAGCCTGATGCGCGGGGCTCCATCCCAGGACCTGGAGATCATGACCTGAGCCAAAGGCAGACGCTTAACTGACTGAACCACCCAGGCGCCCCTATTTCTTAGTTTTAAAAGAAAGTTTTTTTTTTTGTTTTGTTTTTTGTTTTTAAATTGGGAGAATATTTGAAATACTGATCTCTAAGTTATTCTTTTATTTTGGCTGAATTCACAGCAGATCCTAAGAAGTTATGTGTGAGATTTTTTTTTGACTTTTGACATCTTTTAGTGCTCTTAGGACATTGCCTACTTTGTTAGGTAGTTCAGATCAAAGTTATCACACCCCCAGAGAACAAAGCCTTGTGTTAATGGATGAAGAGCTAGGTTCTAATCGTGGTTTCCTCTTAAACTTGAAATATTTATAAAATCAAGTTTGTTCTTCAGTCATAGTAATTTTTTCACCCATGAAATGTGAGTGCCCGGAATGCCAACCAGTTATTTTGAATACATCAGAGGATTAACTCCATATAATCCAGAAAATTTTAGGTTTTGTTCACTGCACTTGGAACAATGCTTGGCACAATATTAAGTCCTCATATTTTTCATTTAATTTTTTGAATAGCTAATGCAGTCATGGTTCAAAATATATATAAAGGTTTAAAATCTTTCACCTGTCCCATCTCCCTAGTTTTTTACCTCACCCTAATAACCACTGTTTTTGTTTATCTTTTCTGAATTCTTTATGCAAATACAAGTAAAAATAGTACCAAACTATATATATTTCTTTGCCTTGCATTTTTCACCTAAAATGTCTTAGATGTTTTTCCATAGACAGCTTCCCTAATTTTTTTTTCTGCAAAGTTTTGCATTAAATAGTTGTGCCATGATTTATTTAACTGGCTTCTCTTAGTAGGCATTTAGGTTATTCTAGTCTTGTTATGCACACAATACTGCTTTGAATAACTTCATAAGTACATTATTTTGTATGAGTGCTAATATAGCTATGGGGTAAATTTCCAAGAAGTGGAAGTACAAAGGATGTGTACTTCTGGTTTTGGTAGATATTGCAAAATTGTCTTTATTTACATTCCCACTTGCTAGGTATGAGTGCCTTTTCTCCCACAGGCTCACCAACAGACTGTGCAATCAAACTTTCGAATTTTTGCCAATCTGATAGGTGAAAAATAGTTTTCTAGTATAGTTTAAGTTTGTATTTCTTCTTTTATGAGTGAGGTTGAGGTACTAAAAAAGCATTTGTTAAATGAATGGAATGCTGTGTAACAGCCAAAACATGCCACTGAAACCATGCTCTGCAATCTCTGATTGCTTTGTTTTTCTAGGTCTTACTTAGTATGGATAGAGAAGCATTTGTATCTAATGGGCCCTTTCATGTAGAAATAGGTCTTGGGTGGTATCTTTTTGAAAATTTACTTGTCAAATAGTTTTGCTTAAATTGAATAAAAATTAATAGAACTGTGTTAATGAAAATTACAATTTATAAAGTGTTTTTAATTCACTATTTCATTTGAGCCTCATAATAACCCTGTTATTTTCCATTTGTCATTATCCTTTGAAAGGTAAACTGTGTGACCCAAAAGGTTAACTGGCGTGTCCAGGGTGAAGATCATAGGTGGATTGGGGACTGGAACTATTTTTTGACTCTAAATTCTCCTACATTCACTATTATGTTTTGTATCATGCTGCTAATTTTGACAATATTTTATTTATTTATTTATTATTTTTTTAAAGATTTTATTTATTTATTTGACTGAGAGAGACACAGCGAGAGAGGGAACACAAGCAGGGGGAGTGGGAGAGGGAGAAGCATGCGGGGCTTGATCCCAGGACCCTGAGATCATGACCTGAGCCGAAGGCAGATGCTTAACGACTGAGCCACCCAGGCGCCCCTAATTTTGACAATATTTTAGATGTAACAGAATGGTGGACAGTGTAGGCCCATGTTTAGCATGTTTGCAATTACCTCAGACTCCATGATTTCTTGTATGGCTTTTTTATGGACCTCTTTCCATTTAAATTAGCAGGTCTCTTTTGAAGGTCTAGTGGAGAAAGCAGATTGTTTAGTTTTATTTATACGTACATTCAGTCAGCAAAGTTTTGGAAGAAATAATGATACTTGTCATCTCTTAGAGCTGAAGATACATATTTTGGGAACTGTTTAATTTAGACACTGCAGATTAAACTGAGGAATTCTCTCTTTCTAAAGAACAGAGGAGTATCTGTTTTTTTCCACTGATTTTAAAGTAATACATGCTTGCAAAAAATTCAAACAATACAAAATTTTTTTTTGTATAAAGTGAAAGTACTTTGAAATAAAAAACAATTTTTTTCTTCTAGGTTTTTTTTTTCCCCTAAAAATAAACATATAAATTAGAATACACACATGCGCACGCGTGCACACACACACACACACACCTACACACAAACATTTTTATAGTTAATTTATGGTTGGAATAATTGGTTAATCATTTGGAAAAAAATGAAAAGAATAATACTTAGGTTTGCCAGTGTTGGGAAAACAGGTATTTTCATAAGTGGGATTGTAAATTGATACAACACTTTTATAGAACAATATGGCGGTATCTGCCAAATTCAAACTGTGTTTTTCCTTTTATCTTGCATTTTACTTCTAAATGTTTATCTTATAGATCCAAGTGCCTAGGATATATATCTCTAAATGATTGTTTATTTATAACATTACTTGAAATACCTAAAAATTACCAGTAACCTAAATGTTCATCACAGGGTCCTTTTAAAAACAATTAGAATTATCCCTTTTTTTATTTCAAATAATTGTTCAAAATAGAAAAGTAGGAACTGCCAAGCAGAAAATAAAAGTTAGTAGCCTACTCCTATCACCTTATCACCTAAACATTATTAACATAATTAGAAAAATTTGGATCCTGTTGTAAATTCTTAGAACCTTTTTTTAACTTAATACATAGTGACTATCTCTCCACAAAATAATTATCCATATCTTTTTTTTTTTTTTTTTTTTTTTTAAGGAAAGACAAACAAAGAGTAATATAGATAGTATGTTTATCCAGAAGTGCTTTAACCTAAAGAGCTTTCCCGTAAGAGTTTGATGTTTAGGCCTACTTTTCATTTATTGCCTGACTATTCCTTAGCTTCAGTTGTTAGTAGACTTTGATATGTTTCACTACATTTGAGTTTCATCTATACCATTATATACTTAATATATATTTTTAAGTTCATTATTTTTAAAATTTTTTAAAGATTTATTTATTTGAGAGAGAGAGAAACTGTGCATGTGTGCACCTGTGCGCGGAAGGGGAGGGGCAGAGGGAAAGAATCTCAAGCAGACTCCCTGCTGAGCACAGAGCCCAACTTGGGGCTCCATCTCATGACCCTGAGATCATGACCTGAGCCGCAATTAAGAGTCGAATGCTCAACTGACTAAGCCACCCAGGCACCCCTTAAATTCATTATTTTTAAACTTATGTCTAAGTAAAATAGTTCATTCAATTAAAAAGTATTTATTGAGTGTCTATTCTGTGCCAGGAATGGTTTTATGTGCTGAGGATGCAGCAGTTGGATAAAACAAATGCTTCTGTCTTTTCAGAGCTTACACTTAGGGGTTGAGGAATATATGAGACATAAATTTAAATATATAAGAAGAAAATAAAGTGTGTCCATGTATCGCTTAACCTCATGTCAATTACCGGTGGTCCATGCATCACACCTGGGAAATTTGTCTTATAGCAACACAAGGATACAAGGGTCCGTGTGGACTCTGCAGAGACAGAGCGTCATGATGGTGACTTCAGCACGGTCAGCAGAGGCAGTGTTTGTGTGCCTCTCTCTTTTGATTGTGTCTTTAGGTTTGTAACATTTACAGTATACATGAAGGTCTGTAGAATCATGAAATTTTAATGCTTACAGAGGACCTTTGCTTACTTAGTCTAATTCTTTAAGTTGTCTAATGAAGAAAAATGGGCCCAAGGAAATGAAAGAGACAGCATGCTAAAGACAGTAGAACTAGAACTTAGGTTATGTGGTTGCTAGGTCAGTGTCCATTCCACAGTGGATTATCTACAGTGGATAATCATTAAAGATGTTTGAGAAAAACAGAGCATATGAAATCAGTTTTTGTAGAGTGGCAGTAAGGCAGGAGAGAAGAAAGTCTAAATTTTTAAGGTCTCAAATTTGAATCTGGGGTAAAATTTACTAAATTAAATCTTAACAGGTTTTGACCTTTCTTTATTTAACATTTTTCCTTTAAGACCCCTTTATTTAATTTTAATTTTAATTTTTTTTTGCAGATAAAGATACAGAGAAAATAGATCCCTTGAAAATGTTTTAAATGTTATACTGGAACATATATTAAAAAATTTACAAGATTAAGAGTTAATGAGCTTAGGGGTGCCTGGGTGGCTCAGTCGTTAAGCGTCTGCCTTCGGCTCAGGTCATGGTCCCAGGGTCCTGGGATCGAGCCCCGCATTGGGCTCCCTGTTCAGTGGGAAGCCTGCTCCTCCCTCTTCCATTCCCCCTGCTTGTGTTCCCTCTCTTGCTGTCGCTCTCTCTGTGTCAAATAAATAAAATCTTAAAAAAAAAAAAAAGAGTTAATGAGCTTTTCTTTCATATCACTTACTGTTTTTTTTCCTTCTTTTCCAGAATTTTATAGAAGTGAAGTGATTAAGAATTCCTTGGTAAGTTTGCTTTCTGACAGGTACACTTGACTAAGGTCTATAACTCCTGTTTCAGAAAATGCTGAGACATAAGTTCAAGTTCAGTTCTGGTATTTATTATGATACTTCTACAGTTAAATCTTCTGTTTAGTTATTGCTTAAATTTTCATTGATTTATTCATTGATGTATCTCTCATGCTTAGAACATGCCTGGCACATAGCAGGTGCTTGATAAATATTTGCTGAATGAACTGATATTTCTTCTGTTAAAAACTTCAGTGTTTTTTTCTATTCATATTCTGTAATTCTGTTAGTTTTATTCACAGGGGTTTTTTTTCTATTTGATTTACCAAACATAAATGATGACTTTGTTTAGATAAGGTTCTTAAGAATTATATGTCTAGCGCCATTGCATAGGATCCTCCCACTTATTTTTTAGTGGTGGCATTGCTAAGGTAGAAAGTTGGAAGCGTCCTACTTTTGATAATGTACACATGAGATATTTGCATAAATGGCTCAGTTTATTGGGCCATGTTGATAAAAAAGGACTTTATGGGAATTATATACTTTTAGTGGTCAAGACTATACTGAATTTGGCCTCTGTCCACTTTTTCAACCTCATTTCTTAGTACTTTTCCTTACTCATTGTGCTCCAGGCATACCTCGTTTTTTCAGTGCTTCAAACATGCCGAGCCTGTCTTCTTTCTTATGTCTAGAACACTTGTTTCCCCAGCTCTTTGTTTGGCTGAAGATGTCTCTGAGGTCTCAGTTATAGAACTTTGGTTAGGTCTTCTATGACTATTCCATTGAAAGTGGTTCCCTTTCTCCTGGTCACTTTTTTTACGTCACCTGTTTTATTTTCTTTAGAGCATTCATCACTCTTGGAAACTCTTGTTCATTCATTTGTTTGTGTTGATTACCTGTCTCCCACCTACTAGAACATAAGTTCCATGAAAGCAGGGACCTTTCCTAGAGTCTAGAATAGTATAGATACTCAGTAAATACTTGTTAGATGAATAAATGGATATCAGTGATGTGTTATGTTTACAGAATCCTTTTACATATGTGTTCCATTTTGATCCTTAGAACAACGTGTAAGGAGATGAGGTAGGTCTTAAGGAACTGACATCCAGAGAGGCCCAACAACTTTTGCAGTCACATAACTGTAGAACCAGATCCAAAGTTCAGACCTCTGTCTTCAGGTCTCTGCTACTCTTTCCTCTTTATCAAGCTGCCTTCTAAATGTCTCTAAAATAGAATAATAAGGGCGCCTGGGTGGCTCAGTTGGTTAAGCGACTGCCTTCAGCTCAGGTCATGATCCCAGGGTCCTGGGATCGAGTCCCACATCAGGCTCCCTGCTCTGCGGGAAGCTTGCTTATCCCTCTCCCTCTCCCCCTGCTTGTGTTCCCTCTCTCGCTGTGTCTCTCTCTGTCAAATAAAAAAAAAAAAAAAAAAATCTTTAAAAATAAAATAGAATAATAAGTTTGGATCCTAGGCCAGACAGTTTCCTTAAGTCTGTTTCTGAGGAGCTCCAATCATCAGTACAGCTCTTGTTCTACACATATTAAATGACTAGCACCATACCTGACACATAGTAGCTAATGAGTCAATATTAGTTTTTCTTCCTCCCCTGGCTCAGGTGAAAATAAAAGTGTCCTACAGATGATGGAGAGCTAGGGAAGAGTGGGTGGTTGCAGGGGCAGATAGAATAGAATTTCACCTTGATTTATTCTACCCCCCTTTTGATAGTCAAAAGTCTAGTTGGGAATGGTTTTACACCATCGCATTGGTTTTTCTCTGGATTTGTATCATAGTGGACCCTGTGCTAATAGTGCTACTTTAGTGTATTGTCCTACCTTATTGTATTGTATTTACTTGCTATTCACTTGACTTTCAAGTTCCTATTTCTAAACACCATCTGTTTGAATGTTAACTCTTCAACTCTTTTTGGCTCCTATCCTCTGTTGCTTCTGAAATGTCTGTGAGGTTTTGATATCTTCATCCCTGGTGTACTTACGTTGAATAAATGTTTTATAAAAATATTGTAGAATGGATTTCAGACAAGGGAGAGATTTGGACAGAAGACTTCCAAGGTCCTTTCAGGTTACAGTTTGTCCTGTAGTTGTTTCCTGGGGATCCCACTTGCAGCATTTGTGTCCATTGTGATTGTTCATGAACGGTTTCGTCTCCCAAAGTAGATGACAGCTTTTGGAGGTCAGGAGACTGCTTGAATATCTTTATGTCCCTCTAGCTTCCAGTGTACTTCTTGGGAGTTGTTGGATAAATGTTGATTTATGTTTCCTTTTAAGGATATTCTTTGATGTTATGATCTTTCTGGCAAGGATTCTTTTCTTTCTTTTATAGCTTAATATAGGTTTGATAAACTGCCATTCATTTTTCCTTTTCTTTTGGAAAGGACTCTTCCTTCTTTGTTTTCTGCTAAATCATTGTGACTGGTTCAGATTAATGGGCATTGAGCACCACAGGAGTCAACAACCTTCAGAGAATATGCTGGAGATGGCACATTATTACCTGCCTGCTTGCTGTTTCTGAAGAACCATGGATGAGCAAAATTGGTTGGTTTTTTTCCCTGCTTAGGAGTTGGTGATTCTTAAGCTGTTGTGATATTTGCTGAATAGAGTTAGTGATTTATTTATTTTTTTATTTTTATTTTTTTTAAAGATTTTATTTATTTATTTGAGAGAGAATGAGAGAGAGCACATGAGAGGCGGGAGGGTCAGAGGGAGAAGCAGACTCCC